TGAGAGAGGGAGAGAGAAAGGTCTACCATTGATTGGCTTCTCCCCCAAAGGCCACAACAGCCAAAGCTGGGCCAGGCAAAAGCCAGAACCTTTTTCAAGGTCTTTTATAGGAATGCAGGGCCCAAACACTTTGGCCATCCTCTGCTGCCTTCTGTGGCACATTTGTAGGGAACTGGATCAGAAACAGAGTAGCTGGAACTTGGATTGAAACTCACATGGAATACTGGTGTCATAGCGACAGCTTCACTCACTATACCACAATGCCGGCCCCTGATTTTCATGTTTTTGATCTGAGCAAATTAGGTGGACAGTGATGCTATGTATACATACAAGGAAGACTATGGCATGAATAGGTTTGGAGTATGGAAGAGTGTAAATGAAGAGTTTAGTTTTGGGCATGCTAACTTAGAGCTATCGCTGACTTGCTTGTGGGAGGAGGTCATGGGCTGTGTGTCTCTCGAGTGTATAGATTTATTCATGCACTTTTGATTTTTTTTTCGTGCCAACAGCTTTCTGCTGGCATCATGGGCATGTACAGGCTGGGTATCATGGTCAGACAGGTGACCCTCCTCCATCCTGCTTTTCCAGATTTCTCTAGGGAATTTCATGAGTTGGAAAATGTTCATTCACTTAGTTATTCAGCAGTAATGCATTGACATATGAGGGTAATGCAAAAAGGCTGTAGAGAAAGTTAGTAGATATGTTTATTTTGGTACAAGACATTTTTTGAAACATGTATTTCTGTGTAACTAAAATTCTGCCTAAACTTTTTGAAGACCCCTAAGAATACCAAGATTTCAAAATTTTTTTTTGCACCCAAATAAATTCACCTTTTAATTCCACTTAACATGTACTTGAAGTACTCTCATACATTTATCTTCTCCTGGGCACTTTGAGTACAAGCAGCACTATGAATAATACTGAATATTACTAGATGAATAGTAAAAATATTAGCCCTTGAGACAGTTTCATCTATCTGGCGATATGTGCTAGTAAACAGCTGAGATTTATGCACTGTGAGGCATGTGTGACTTGGAGAATAAACTAAAATTTCATTGTACAACCTCCTTTCCTACTAGGAAGACTTTTTAATAGGCTAGACTTTACCAGTTCCTTACACATTTTAAAATAAATAGATCTTGTTTAGTTTATTGGAAATGCAGATCTACAGAGAGAAGGAGATATAGAAAGATCTTCCATCTGCTGGTTCACTCCCCATTGCTCTGCAACGACTGGAGCAGATCTGATCTGAAGTCAGGAGCCAGGAGCTGCTTCTGGGTCTCCCATGTGGGAGCAGGGTCGCCAGGCTTTGGGCCATCCTTGACTGCTTTCCCAGGTCACAAGCAGGGAGCTGCATGAGAAATGGAACAGCTGGGACACAAACTGGTGCCCATTTGGGATGCTGGCACTTGCAGGCTGAGGATTAGTCAACTGAGCCATCACACCAGCTCTGATCAGGAAGAATTTAGAAGAATTCTAAGCTGGACTGGAAGGGGAAGGATAGAAAGAGATGGGAGGTCCCAGGAGTGGGAACAAAGCATGCAGAATGGACAAAGGGACATCTCATGGGAACCAGTCATGGTTCTAGGACTGTTGAAGGATAAGGAATCCAGCCAGGAGGACGTGGTCCGAGCTAGCTCCTAAAATGATTTTTTAATATTGATTAATGAATTCACTGTCAAGGAGAGATGAGGTGATTTTATCTGCAGTGTGATTAGGAGCTGTCGCTATGCAGGCCACACCTACCACTGTCTCAGTCAGTCCGCTCTGATGCTTCTCCAGGCATGTCTGATTCTTGGTTCTCTAGTTGTGGGTACTGTTTGAGCTTGTCCGCAAGCTCCTGTAAAATAATGTTGCTATGGAAACAGAAACACGTCTAAAGAAAAAGCCTAAAGCTAGTTAAGACTATAAATTCAAAGGCAAAATCCAGGGCATTGGTCCACATAAATACTCATCAACATGTCACACTATGAAACTGTAATTGCTGTGCCCAAGATCAAAGTCACATGACTCAAGAGTGGAGAAGCCAGACATAAACTAAGGAGGCCGTCCCTGAACAATGGCCTCCCTGTGTCAGCGGAGTGTCCTGTGGTATTATGCACACAATCATCAATCATCCGATGGTCTTTAAACACTCACCTTAGCATCAGAGGGTGGCATGGTGCTGCGTTATAACCAGGACAAGTTGTACTGAGCAGTGCTTAGAAAATGCAAAGAATATTCATGCCCACATGGGATGACATCTGGGGGAAGGCAAAGCACCCCTCTGATTTAAAAAAAAATCTTTAAAACAATTTGTATAAAGGGAGCAAATGTTATGTATTTTACGTGTAGTTTTTAAAGCCTAATGATATTTTCCATCTTGCCCTCTCCCTCCTTCTGACCCTTCTTCTTGTCTTACTTTTGAAAAAATTTTTACGATGACATGCTTTCAGTTTGCTTTATAATCACAGGCTCAACCTTCTACTAACTAAAGAATTCATCCAGTAACAAGTAAAAGAAGCAGTGTTCTCCAGAAGTGTAGATGAGAACCAAAAACAATAATGAAATCTCAAAATGTCAATTTCACTCACATACAACTTTTGTACTCAATTATCATAAATGTATGCACTGTTCCTTAGACGCTGCAAGCCTCAGAATCAAGCCAAGATTGTTATTTACTTATTTGTCGAAGCAAAGCCTGAATTGAGTACTAAAATTGAGAACATTGACTTCCTGCATCACACACACACATGCAGATTTTCATCTGGTGGTTCCCTCCCCAGATATAACAGCCAGGGCTGGTCCAGGCTGAATCTAGGAGCCAGAAACTCCATGTGGATCTCCCGCACGAGTGATGGGTCCTAATGATTTACGCTGCCTGCCTTGCAGGTGTGCAGTAGTGAGAAGCTGGGATGAAGAGGTAGCCAGGACTTGAACTCGGGCACTTTGGTATGGATTATGGGCATCCTGAGCACTGATTTAACTGTTGTGCCACAATGACCACTCATAATAAAATCAAATTATTATTTATTTCCAGTTATTTGAGAGAAACAGACAGAATATGTGAGTGAATCTTCCATTTGCAGGTTCACTCCCCAAAGCCTCTAACAGCCGGGGTTAAGTCAAGCCAAAACCAGGACTGGAATTCAACCCAGGACTCCTGAACGTGTGGCAGGGACCCACCGACTGTTGCGGGGAGCTGGACTCACACCCTGGCCCTCTAGTGTGGTATGTGTGCATGGCAGGCAGGGTTTGAACTGCTGTTCCAGATGCCCACCCCTGGAATATAGTTTGGACATTTGTCAGCATCTGTGCTCTTCTGGGTCCTGTCTTCCAACTTATTTATACAACAATCTAATTATCAGCCATGTCCTCGACTCCAGATTCTAGGGAAGGGGAGTGAAACGGGGTTGAGGGTATTTTCATGAGCTTCTGTGTGGGGAAGATGCTGACAAGACAGTGAGTGGGAATCAGCACAAAAGCTTGCATTATTAAACCACAGCTTATCGATCAGACTTTCAGGTCTCTGTGGTTCTCCCTCCTTCCTCCCTCCCTCAAATGGCTGCAATGGTCAAAACTGAGTCAATTTAAAGCAGAGAGCCAGGAGCTTCTTCCAGGTCTCCCATGTGGATACAGGATCCTAAGGTTTTGAGCCATCCTGTACTGCTTCCCCAAGCCACAAGCAGTGAGCTGGATGGGAAGTAAGCAGCTGGGACATGAACTGGCACCCATATGGGATCCAGGTGCTTACAAGGTGAGGGTTTAGTGATTGAGCCATTGTGACGAGCCTAGATGGAAAATCTTTATCCTTCTGTCTCTCTGCGTGCTGCAAAATCTGCTTTTCCAATTAAAAAAAAAAGCCTTAAAAAACCCATGTCCAAGTCAGAGAGACAAGGCAGGTGTGGACAGTGCTCTCATGTGCTGGTTTGCCCCTCAAATGCCTGCTCTGGCCAAGAGGGAGCCTCGCTTAAGCTGGGACACCGGAGGCAATCCTGATCTCCTGTGTGGGTAGCAGGGACCCAATTACTTGAGTTATGGAAACTGCTGCTTCCCACAGTCTACTGGAAGGAAGCTGGAGTCAGGAGCCCAGAAATTGAACTCAGGAACTCTTGCTATGGGAACAGGTTGTCCTAAGTGGTGCCATAACCACTTAATCCAAAACTTCATCCCAGACTGTTTAGTTAAAGAGAATGGGCCTTCTCTTTTATTGGATCTCATCCCGTCATCCTGGATAAGTCCTTCAGCTCCATCCCTGGCCTCCAGGGCTGCAGGATTCTCGGGATGTGCTGACCGTCTTCCTCAGTCGTCTCCTGGGACTCCTGGAACCTTTCCCAGACCACAGCTGTCAGAGTGGTCCTTGGCTCATGACCGTGACAGCACTCCGACAGCCGTGACCAACGTCTAGTGGAGGGATGTTCAAGCAGGCGGGGGAGCCAGGCTGCCTTCCCCAGGATCTTGGGTTTTCTCTTTTCAAGAACTCTGAAATGCTAAATAAAGGATTCCGGCTACAGTAAACACTCCATTAGTAGTGCTGAAAACCATATGAGGGTACTTCAAAAACTCATAAACAATGTAATAAAAAGATGCAATTTTTGGAGGAAGAAAAAAGGAATCTTTGCTTACAAATCCCTGGAGAGGCAGGCATTTCGCTCAGTGTCCCACAGGGCAGGACCTGGTTTTGAGTCTCTCTGTTCCAGTTCTTGACCCCAGGTCCTGCTAATGCAGAGTTTGGGAGGCAGTGGTGATGGCTCCAGTAACTGGATTTTGCCCCCGACATGGCAGGCCTGGATTGAGCTCTGAGCTCCTGCTTTTGGCCTAGCCCAGGCGTGGCCATGACAGGCATCTGGGGAGTGAATCAGCTGATGGAATCAGCTCTTGGCCAAAAAATAAATGAGAAAACTGTGCGTGGATTTCAGAATCCACGTTGGAATAAATCCGTTTGATTCCTTTCTCAAGTGTTCTCGCTATCTGTAAGATTATAGAATCCTGGGAATAATTGCACCCTGGATTTATCTCAGTTTTTTAAACCAAAGATTTTTTATTTTTGATTCCCTTTTAGACAAATCTCTTGTAAGAATCATAAGAAAGATCATGCACAAATCACATTTTCTCTTTAATACCAAAAATACAAATTCAATAATTTTTTAAATCACTTTGAAATGATCCAGATGGCTTAAAAAAATGCTGCCTGGATTTTTTTTCCAGTCTCCTAGAATTTTCTAATCAGTGAGAATCATGCTGATCTTGACTATTATTTCCAACCACAAGAAAAAAGAGCCTCTGTACATGGAACATGCTGATTTCAGGAAACTGGCAGTGAGAGACATGGAAGGGAAGTTGGTGAAATGTGGCTTGAATTTGGGAAGCATCTCCCACTCTTTCCCCCACCCCAGGGTAAGGAAACACCCAGAAGCTTCCAGCAAGTTCCAAGCTGCATGAATCACTCATGTCTTCACAAGCCAGACCTCATTCCGACGTCCGTAGGGCTTCATGGGAGGGTCATAGCCAGTGCAGAAGTAGATGTCGCTCCGGTAGGTGGCTGTGCCCTCGAGGGCGGCACGCAGTTGGGAGGCGTGTGCCACGTAATCTGCCTCCTTGGCATAACCACCAAACTGCCTGAGGATACAAGTGGGGAAAGGACATGACCTTGAAGAAAGAAGGGATCTTACAAACAAAAAACAGGACACTCAACATACCTAGTATGACAGCATGCTAGAGCATAGAGGGATTTGGCTTTCCTTGTGCCTCAGTTTTCTCATCTGTGACATGGGAATATATCTGCTCTTTCCTCCAAATATATTATAAGCATTAAAATGCCATGGTGAGTGTGAAAAATTCTGTTGCAGGGTCTGAAGTACAGTTGGCACACACCAAACATGAGTTTCTGGTTCTTTCCTGAAGTGTCTTATGGAGATGCTAGGATGGCTTTTCCCCAGGGCCATGCCTTCCCTGCTTCTCTCTAGCTCCCTCTGCTGCCCCAGCTGCTCCACTTCTCTGCCTCTGTCACCAGCTGAAGAAGGCAGAAGGAAAAAAGGGGAGCTGGGTGGAGTTCAAGACCCATCCAAGGCAGTTCCGGGAACTGAGCCCACCACAGCACTCACACACAGTCGCTGAACAGAGTTCCTGCCGTCGAGGGTTAGCCCAGTGGTTAAGATGCCCGCCTCCCACCTGCTGCTCCCTGGGCTCCCTGGTCTGGCCCCTGGGTCCAACCTCTTTCTAATGTAGGAGCTGGGAACAGGTGAAGGCTCAGCCGCCTGGGTTCCTGGCATCCTGTGGGAGACCTGGGGTGAATGTCCAGTTCCCAGGTTTGGTCCTCACTGGATTTGGGGAGTGAACCAGTGGTTGGAAGATCTGTCGGTTTCTCTCTTTCTCAAGGACATCCATAAATTAAGTTAAACAAAACCCCAAAGCTTCAAGCCTTGGCTGCCTTCGCTCAGAAGAATGGAGAACTCAAAAACTGTAGGACTCTGAAGAAGATTTATGAGTAAGAATGCTCCTTAAACTCAAAAACTAGAAAGAAAATAACCTACATGTAATAAACGCCTCTAGAAAATATTACTCAGCCATTAAAAACATCCCAGGTGAATATTTAATAGCATAAAATGTTCATATGGGAAATTGTGAGTAGTTTGTATAATATGTATATGTATAATATGTATGATATGTTAGCACATATACTTAACATTCACTTTAAAATAATCATTAAAATATAATTATAGTGTGACCTAGACTACCTAAGATTGATTTTTTTTTAAGATTCATTTTTATTTTTGTTTGAAATGCAGTTATAGAGAGAGGGAGAGATAGGGAGAAAGAGAAAGAGAGAGAGCGCGAATCTTCCATCCACCATTCACTCTCCAAATGGCAACAACAGTCAAGAGTTGGACCTATCTGAAGCCAGGAGCCTCTTCCAGGTCTCCTCTTCTGGGTCTCCCTCGTGGGTGCAGGGTTGCAAGGACCCAAGCCATCCTCTGTTGCTTTTCCCAGGCCATAAGCATGGAGCTGGATTGGAAGTGGAGCAGCCGGGACATGAACTGGCACATGCATAGGATGCTGGTAGAGGATTAATTTACTACACCATGGCACCAGTCCCTAGTATTTTTTTTGAAATGTTTATTCCAAGAGTAATAGTTGCTTATTATCAAATTTAGTAAATGGTGAACCTTATTAAAGAGAAAATGGAAATAATTTATTACGCTGCACACAAAGACATTTTTAAAATTTGGATGTTTCCTTTTTTCCTTGTGGCATGCATGCAAACATACTTATTTTAATAATATTTTTTCAGATTATGAAAATAGTATGTATTCATGCACAAAATTTGAAAAAACTACAATGAAGAAAATTTTAGACATTAGATAAAACCATGAATGATTTTTATCAGGTTTTTCTTAATTTCTAAATATAAAAGAATTTCATTCAGTTGGGACTGTTATAATCATTTTATGTTCTAACTTCTCACCTAAGACTGCTTCCATATCATTAAATATTATTGGATCAATGACAAAAATAAGACAAAAATAATAAATAAATAAACCAACAAACTAGATACCAACACAGACCAGGACTCCAGGGCATAGGCAAGCTGGGGCCCCACAGTCCAGAGACAGGAATCACTCTTAACAAGCCTTCCTAGTCAGGACGTTAAAGCAATCTTTCCCCACAAAGCAAAGAAGCCTCTCCTGTATCAGCTGCTTCCCTGGCAGAAGTTGGGCACAGAAAAGCAAGAAAGTCTTTCTGTTCAAGGTTATTTTCTTTCTCATATCATCTTCTTTTCCCAAATGTGTCCTGTAACCTACCCTAAATACTCTGCTCTACATTTGGGTTCTATTAAAATCTTAAGGAGAGTCTAACACATCACCCCCAACCCCACCCTTTCTAGTGACCTTTGTGACTCAAAAGCCTGACTTTGCATGGGGCAAGATTGGGCCAAAGAATGCATTATTTGTGGTGGAGCCCTCTGAGTCACACTTGCCTTCTTTGTGAGTAGTTAGTCATGGTAGAGGAGGAGGACATGCGAACACCCAGGATTGGGTCTCTGAGGGATTGATTATTCGAATGTCTAGACAACAGCAGCAGCCCGAAGACAGCGCTGAGACCAGTTGGAATTGAAATTGATTCCTCAAATACACTGGAGGAAGCTGATCAGGCCATGGAAGGAAGCTAAGCTCTGGTGTCGTTTAGAGCAAAGAGGAGGAGACGGGATTAGCAGACAGGATGGATATTCAAGGAAGGGGTTTCTGTCAACAAGACTGCGAGAAGGCAGATCACTGTTTTTTTGGTTTGTTTTGTTTTTATGAAGAATGCCTTTAGGCTGGGAACCACTTGTCTGTAATGCATCACATGGGGGCAGGGACCTGGGAACAGGTGTTGTGTGCTTCCAGAAGCTTTTACTTGTGCTGATACTGAATTCTTTGTGAAAACAGATATTGTCTCTTTAAACTGATTTTGGAGAGGCCCAAAGAAGTGGTCCTCAAATGTCTTCATTTAGGATGGGCCTTTGGTTCAAGCAGTTAACATGTCCTTCGGAATGTCCATGGAGTTCCCTTTGCTTACAACCAGGCTTCCTGCTAATGTGCAGCATGGTGATGTGTTAGGCAGGGAGTCAGCGAATGAAGACGTTGAGAAGTTTCCAATAGCTTCTATCTCTAAATCTGAACCCCTAACCCTGCCCCTTTTTATGCCAATTCAGCATACCCTCTTTTCCATGAGGCACCCATCTCCTGTATCATAAAAGATGCCAAAATGAACACACACGTACTTAGCTATGAAAACCTTCCTCATGGAAAACACCATGACAACCTGCCAGAGGCCATCACATAGGTTGAACCCTGCCTAAACTCCACACCATCTCCATACTCCATTAGGGCAACGCCCCTTCCCAACAAAGGGGATCACTGCCTGCCTGGCACCTTCCTCTCCTGGTGGGGCTGTCACGATTACCTCTGAATGTGTCTTCTCCTTCTTTAATTCTGATCCGATTCTTTAATTTCATGTCTTTGCTTTGGTGGATTTTTATCTCATAAGAATCTGAAATAAAACCACAGGGAACCTTCAGCTGGCCAACAATGGGATGGCCCAAGTGCCTGGGTCCCTGTCACGCATGTGCGAGACCCAGACTGACTGCCAGACTGCTGGTTTGGGCTGGGCCCAGTCCTGCTTTTGCAGATATCCGGGTTTCTGAACCAATAGAGAGATGGTCTCTCTCTGTGCATCTTTGATAAAAAACAAAATAAGATTTAAAAATTCAACATTTGGAGGCAAGCTGGCTAGTGTGTATGCTCACGTGCTAGTTCTGCCACCTCTACTGTAGTGTCTTGGGCAAATTCTTCAATTTCTCTGAGTTTGAAGTTCTTTAAAGTTTCATTTATTTTTACTTGAAAGGCAGATTTATAGAGAGAATAGAGACAGAGTCTTCCATCTAGTTGGTTGATTCCCCAAATGGTCACAGTGATTGGGGCTGAGTCAATCCAAAGCCAAGAGCTGTCAAAGTGTCCCGTGTGGATGCAGGGCAAGGACTTGAGCCATCCTCCACTGCTTTCCCAGGCCATTTGCAAGGAGTTGGATAGGAACTGGAGCAACCGAGTCTAAAACCAGTGCTCATGTGGGATGCCAATGCTGCAAATGGAGCCTATTCCATCACCTCACTGGCTCTTTTTATTTGTTAACTAGGATAATAACAACATCATATCAGCAGGTTATTGAAAGATGAAAGGAGAAAAGATGCTGCAACTTCTCAGTGGATGCCTCTCAAGTGGTAAGCTCACAGGAAATGGCAACTATCAGGGCTGGCACTGTAGTACAGTGGGTAAAACCACTGTCTGTAACGCTGGCATTCCATATGGACACTGGTTCCTGCTCCTGGCTTTGGCCTGGTCCATCCCTGGTCACTGCAACCATCTAGGGAGTGAATCAATCAGAGAATGGAAAACTTCTGTTTCTCCCTCTCTAACTCTGACTTTCAAATAAATAAATCCTTAAAAAGGAAAGAAGGAAAGACAAGATGGATGGATGGATGGGAGGATAGGTGGAAGGAAGGAAGAAGGGAGGGAGGGAAAGAAGGAAGGAACAAACAAGAGCTAATTGCCATCCCAATTTCCCACAGCATCTTTGGGGCTTTGGTTCCAGGTCCTTCACAGATACCAAAATCTTTGATGCTCTCAATCTCTTCTACAAATTGCATAGTGCATAAATCCAATACACATCTTCTCACATACTTTAATTCCTCTCCAGGTTATGTTTAATACCTAACACAATGTAAATGCTATCAATAGTTGTGCTATATTCTTTAGAGAATAAAGGCAAGAAAAAAGGCCTATATATGCTTAGTATAGATGCAACATTTAAAAAAAATTTGTTTGTGGTTGGTGGGCTCTGTAGATACAGAGGGGTTGCCTTTGGTTTCTTCTTTCAATTTCTAGTCTCCCAAGGCAAGTGGCATGAAGGAAATTTAGAGTAATAATGCGATCTGGCTCCATGAGCAGTCCTCAATTTCTCAAGGAGGACTGCTCTCAAAACCCCATTTTATCTTGTAACACAACTCCTCACCCCTATTCCTGATCTTAATGCTTCATTTTGCTTTTTCTCTTTCTGCTCCATTAGAGCACGATTCTCTG